CTCCTCCTCCTCCTCCTCCTCCTCCTCCTTCTTCTTCCTTTCTTTCTTGTCTGGCTAAACAGCTTCCTCATCCTCATACTTCCATGCTTGCTTAACCAGCACTCCACGCTACTCAACTCATTCGACACAATCATCCTCCTAAGATGGTCGCTGCCGTCCGCATCGCCCCCTCGGCCTCCACGCGCGCCCTCAACCTCCTGCGCACAGTCCAGTACACGCATCCGCCCTCCTGTCCATGCCATTCCAACCCCAATCACCATCACCACCATCGCACACCTACTCTCAGCGAACATGTTCGTCGTCACATGGCCACCCCGACAGACCCTTCGCGCCAGAAGGAATATGCCTTCGAGATGGCCGCCTCGAGCATCCGCTTCGGGCCGGGAGCCACCAAAGAGGTCGGCATGGACTTTGCCAACATGAAGGCCAAGCGGGTGTGCATTGTGACAGATGGGAATGTCGCCAAGTTGGATGCTATGAAACAAGCTGTCGAGGGTTTGTCGCGGGAGGGCATTGAGTTCACTGTCTTTGATAAAGTGCGCGTGGAGCCCAAGGATAGCTCGTAAGCTCCCGCCACTACTTTCGTCCCTTCGTGCACATCTAATAGTGATACAGAGTCAAGGAAGCGATCGCATTCGCCAAGCCTTATAATCCAGATGCCTTTCTTGCCGTTGGTAAGTATTTCACCTGCTTCTCTATCCCTTGCTAACCCCCGCAGGCGGCGGTTCCGTCATCGACACCGCCAAACTGATGAATCTATACACCGTCTACCCCGAAGCCGACTTTCTCGACTTCGTCAACGCCCCACTGGGCAAAGGCCTGCCTGTCACCAAGGCCCTCCGCCCATTGATTGCCGTCCCAACGACCGCGGGTACGGGGTCTGAAACCACGGGCACCGCCATCTTCGATCTGGTCTCGAAGAAAGCCAAGACGGGGATTGCGCACCGCAACCTCAAGCCCACTCTGGGGATTTGCGACCCGCTCAACACACGGACCATGCCGTCGGCTGTCCACGCTTCTTCCGGTCTGGATGTGCTGTGCCACTCGCTCGAGTCATGGACGGCCATCCCGTACAATGAGCGCACTCCTCGTCCCACCAACCCGATTCATCGCCCGGCGTACCAGGGCGCCAACCCGATCTCCGACATTTTCTCGCTGCAGGCCCTCCGCAGCACGGTCAAGTACCTGCCCCGGGCGGTTAAAGACCCGGAAGACTTTGAAGCGCAGTCCCAGATGCTGTTGGCCGCGACGCTAGCGGGCGTGGGATTCGGCAACGCGGGCGTGCATCTATGCCACGGGATGAGCTATCCGATCTCGAGCCAGAACCCGGGCTACAAGCACGCGGGCTACGATGTCGACCACCCGATCATCCCGCACGGGGTGTCGGTGGCGGTGACGGCGCCGGCGGTGTTCCGATTCACAGCGGCGTCGAACCCGGACCGACACCTGGCGGCGGCGGAGGCGTTCGGCGTGGACATCTCGAATGTGAAGCGGGAGAGCGCGGGCGAGGTGCTGGGGGAAGCGCTGGCGGACTTTCTGGTGAAGCTGGGCGACCAGCCGCGGGGGTTGAAGGATCTGGGGTTCCAGCGGGGGGATATCGAGTCGTTGGTGGAGGGGACCCTGCCGCAGAAGCGCGTGTTGGACCTGGCGCCGAACTTGAATAGTGAGTTGGAGGGGGAGAAGGCTGAATTGCGGGCGTTGTTAGAGGAGTCGATGGAGTATTAGTTAGCTGCATAGTTTATTTGAAGCAATGACTAGTTGCATACCCCGGTCATCCCCGCATTCCATCACGCCTGCAGATCATCCGACCGATTCTGAATCCTCTGATTTAAATCTGCCTGTCCTGCTGTCATTCCCTTCTTAATTTCTTCAACCCTCCTCAATCCCCACCAATCTCCCAAAATGCACCCTCCCCTCCCCTTCCCCCTCATCCCCCTCATCCCCCTCTCCCTCCTCTCTCTCCTCCTCAACCCCCTCCCAACCCACGCAACTGGAACCACCCCGCAAACCCCCTTAGAACAAGACCAAGTAATGAAAACAGGCAACCCCCTCCCCCTCCCCGGCCCCTGGCCCTGGTACGCCGACCCCGAAGCCCACCTCTTCCCGCACACGGGCCCAGCAACCCAGCCCCAGACCCAGAACTACTGGATCTACCCCACCTACAGCGCCGCCTACGAGCAACAAACCTTCTTCGACGCCTTCAGCTCCCCCGACCTAATCACGTGGACCAAGCACCCCACCGTCCTCAACATCACGCAGATCCCCTGGTCCACGAACCGCGCGGCGTGGGCGCCGTCCGTTGCCAGACGACCCATCACGGCGAACAAGCAACGTGGAAACAAGCAACGTGGAAACAACCCCAGCGCAAACACCCCCCGTCCAGCATCAGGACCAACCCCCGAGGATGAATCCGAATACGAGTACTACATGTACTTCTCCACCGGCGACGGCACGGGCATCGGGGTCGCCAAATCCACCACCAACTCGCCGGCGGGGCCGTTCGCGGACGTCCTTGGAAAGCCCCTGGTGAATGGCACGGTGATGGGCGCGGAGGCGATCGATGCGCAGGTTTTTGTGGATTATCCTTCCAGTCAAGCCTGGCGTCAGGATTCCGGAGTGGGCGACGGGGACGGAGACAACGGCAGCGACACCACACCCCGCGTCTGGCTGTATTTCGGGGGCTGGGGCCACGCGGTTGTGGTGGAGCTGGATGCGGAGAGTATGACCGCCCTGAAGGGGGGGTTTGTGGAGATCACCCCGCCCGATTATGTGGAGGGGCCGTGGGTGTTGAAGCGCCAGGGGGTTTATTATTTTATGTATTCGGTGGGGGGGTAAGTTTTTCCTTTTTCTTTGGTTTGGGTCTTTGGGTTGGCGGGACATGCTGGGCCTGGACTTGGGTGTGGGGATCTGGGGGGGGGCAGCTGGGCAGCTGGGCTAACTGATTTGATATAACTTAATGTACAGCTGGGGTGACAACTCCTACGGCGTCAGCTACGTGACGGGTCCCTCGCCGACGGGGCCGTTTACCTCCACCCCCACCAAGATCCTGCAGGGCAACGACAAGATCGGAACGAGTACCGGCCATCATAGTGTGTTGACGATCGGCGAGGAGTACTATATCGTCTATCACCGACGGTATCCCAACGATACGGCGCGGGATCATCGTGTCGTGTGTATCGATCGCATGGAGTTCGACGCGCAGGGGAATATCCTGCCTGTGAATATCACGCTGGAGGGGGTGGATGCTAGGCCTTTGTGATTGCTTCTTTATCAGATGGTTGTCCTAGCGGGTAGGGGTATAGAGGCGGAGGCTACGCTGTGTATACTTCTTCTTCTTTGTTTGTAAGCGCAACGGTGGACTCACAGCAGGACAGAAGCGTCCTTGTTTAAAGTATATGTATACGGGGGACGCCTAAAACAATAAATTCATTCGTATCTCATATGCAGGTACAGTAAATGCAAGGGTATCATTTTAAAACATCGAACTCCGCTTCTTACTCAACTTCGTCTCATCCGCCGACGACCGTCGTAATCGAAAGAAACTGCTCTTCTTCGGCTGCAACGCCGGTTTCGCTTGTGCCTGTTGCTGCTGCTGCTGCTGCTCCGGCGACAACGAAAAGCGCACCACCGACTGGTGCCGCGGATCGACCCGCCCTGCACCATGAATCCGGGGTCGTCCATCCTGGTACGGATAACTGTGTGGCTGTGGCGGGTTCGCCGGCCTCAGGGGCAGACTCGGTGCAGGAGCAGCAGCAGCAGCAGCAGCAGCACTCATCCGCGGGGGCAGCGGCCCCGGGACCCCGGACGCCTGCATGCGCACGCGCTCCTCCTCCTGCCCATAGATCCTCTGCAGCCGGAGCGTCTCGCGATCAATCTCCGCCTGGCGCTCCGCCTCGCGCTGTCGTCGCGTCCGCTCCTCTTCCTCCAGTAACAGCCGCGTGCGGCGCTCCTCCTCTTTGCGCCAATTCTCCGCCGGTGATACCGCAGGTTGCGGCAGGGGTTTCGACAGCTGTTGCGATGACTGTCGTGACGTCGGCGATGATGACGGCGCTAGAGGCGACGAGGGCGACGCATTCAAAGCCCCCGATGCCATAGCCACCGAGGACCCCATCGTCGTACGCACTACAGGTCTCTGCTGCTTGACTGGGCCCCCCTCCCTCCCTCCACTCCCAGTCCCCGAAACTGCTGCCGGTGCCCCGGACTTCCCCACACGGAACGCCTCCCGCAACCCCTGCGACGCAAACCAGACATCCCTGATCGTCACGGCGGCCAACAACAGGACGACCTCCAGCCCCTTGAAATCCTCCATCTCCACCCGGTAGAGGTTCGGCTCATACAGGGTCAGCTCCTTCAGCGACTGGAACATGGCCACGGTGATATCCGGCTCCTTCGCCTTGGTTTTGGACTCCGGGAGCGTCGTCGTCTTGCCCGACAGCACGCAGGTCAGATCCTTGCTCAGCTTGCTGTCCTTCCGCCACGCGAACCGCAGCTTCGGGGTGATGTCGGCGGAGGCCGGGTCGGCCTGGGTGCGATCGAGCCGCGACGTTGACGGCTGCCGGAAGCTGTGCTGCGGCATCTCAAACCACCAGGTCGCCGGGCTGTTCCAGGACTTGGGCTTGAAGTGGACGGTGACGGTTTGATCCGGGTTGTACAGATTGATGGTGAAAGTGGTGGGGAGGAGGGGTTCGGGCGCCGGGGTGGTGCCGTTGTTGGCGCGGATGGCGTCGGCGGAGAGGGTCGGGGTGGTCCATTGCGGGAGGATCAGGACCTCCCCGTACAGGATGGAGGGGACGTGGGCGTCGTAGAGGGCGGCCGCGTAGCGGTTGTGGGCGTCCGCCGGGGTCGCGATCGTGGTCGGGTCTGGGTGTCGCAGGGTGTAAGTCGGTTGCGGGTCGTTGCCGTGTTGGTAGAGGTGGATGGTGGTTTGGTGGGGGGTTTGGCGGGAGGGTTTGAGGTAGAATGCTAGTTTAGAGGGTTGGTCAGTCAGTCAGTCGCGATGTTATTGTTGGGTTCATGGTGAAGGCCGGTAAAGGTCGTGAGCGGGCGGGTATACAAGGGAAGAAGAGCATAAGAGGGCAGAAGGCAGAAGACGTACTAGGGAGGTTCTCGTCGAGCATGGTGCTGGTTACTTCATTCACCGATCATGAAAAGATTCCAAAGGAAGGTACCAATAGACCGAATGCCATTGGAGAAGTTATATACTTCACAAAAGAGTGAACGAGTTCCGAAGTGTCGGTCTGGACCTTATTATTGTTTGGGGATTGTTGAATGATGAAAGATGAAACACAATCGCGGGAAGGTATGCGAATTGGCTGCCTCAGGCCATCCGGGGGCACTGCTTTGCCCCACCCGCTATAAATAGCTTTCTCTAACTTACTCATTACTACCAGTACCGACTCACCAACAGGTCAAATATCCTCAGTATAACTGGCATTCATTCCTGACATCTACATCTACATAGGCAACAGGAATACTGCCGGCAGGATCGTCTTGTGTTTTTCTTTTTCCCCAAGCAAAAAAGCAGGATCCGACAAAATAGGCACCATGGTTTCCAAGTCGCATTGTCGAATAGACTGACATGCCGATGATTACTGTCTACGGCTACGGCCCGGAAAGGCTTCCTGTCGACAGCCTAGAGCGGAGTTCTCAGTATAAGCCTTCTTCTCCCAGGCAGACGCATATTTACTGAGTACCTGTATAAGCACTTTGCGAAAGATATTGATCAACAAGCGGTGGAGTGTGGCTTAGTGGTTATTTGACCATGTAGATCACTAAGGTATGCATTCTGCCAACATTCCCTCGGAGGATACTCTGTAAAGAACAGGCTATCGGTGACGTGACATGCATCGAGGAACACAAAGTTCATACACCGATTGCCAATGTTTACAAAAGAAGCAAATATCACCTTGTACTCGGACTCATTTTTATTGAAATAGAGACAGGCTCGCGCGCATACTACCTAATAATCATCAGATGTATCAAGGATCGCACAGATCCTAGCTACTAGTATCAATCACCAGCTGCATCAAGCCACACACACAAGCTGAAACTCTACTTATGCATGTCACGGCCCCTGCTCAAGGCAGACAGACATTCTAGTAGACTCGTCTTAGCTTCGCCTCGTGGAGAGGCTACTAGACCCCAGCACCGCGGTGAGGTGCGAGTCTGTTCGCTGGGGACCTGTTGTGTTAGCTGGACTTAGGAGTGGTGGAGCTTACCTTGTGGTCAGGTTATCGAAATCGAAGGGAGATCGGAGGGAGGAGGACGTTCGGAGGATGCTGGATACCCGGCGAGGTTATAGTGGGGTATGGTCTCGACACCGAGTATCCTGCAGTGGCGTGAAAGGACGGAGGGAGGAGGACGAGGACGAGGACGGAGGATGCAGAGTATCTTGGCGAGGTTATAGTATAGTATAGTATAGTATGGTATGGTCTCGCCAAGGTTACTCTGGCAATGGCGTGAGAACGACGGAGGGAAGGAGAACGGAGGAGGGCGGAGGAGGAGGACGAAGGGAGGGAGGAAGGACGAGGCATGAGAGTCATGAAGGCGAGGGTGTAGTATAGTATAGTATAGTCAGGGTGGTCTCCACACTTCATCCTCTCATGCCTCGAGGCGATAAGCAGACGCGTATCTGCGGTCTCTCGTAAGATTAGCAAGGTCAACTCTTCCAACGGGTCTACAGGAACCTGGAAGTGTCAAGGCAGCAAGAGATGAGGTCTCGAGTCTGATTGAATCAGTCCTCGAGGTGACATCTCCTAGGATATGCGAATACAAAACCAAGGTCAAGGGCGGGGGGGATGAGAAGAGGACGAGAGTGAGGGGAGAAACATGGGGATGTTGGGGTAAACAAAACCAGTCATATTGGATTTTGAGATTCACGCAGCGTGGGGAATCGTGTGTTACTGTAAACAGTGAGTTAGGGTCAGGGTTACTGGGCTGGATGGACTTTTATGAACAACCTCACAAAGACTTTCACTGCGCAGTTGCTGTCTTTGTCCCCGATGGTTCTTGGAAGGGACAATGCTATTGTTCGATCATTATCAGCGAACCGGTGCACGTATACCAGTAAACAAGGGATTCTTTGCTGCTATATAATCTTTCATGCATTATCTACTGCGAGTATATCAACGATCTTTCAAGAAAACCTCTCTCTAAGTGTAAAAGCCAGGCAATCTCCATCTAAGCCCGAACCCCATCTATTTCCTTGCCCTCCGGCACTTTGGCAGCCTCACGCTCCGCCGTACTCAGCTGCAACCCCTGGTCATCCCAGCCCTGCGTACCGATCTTATACAGCTTCTTCTGCTGCTCTCGGTTCGGCATCGGACCCGACTTCCCACGTCGCTGCCGCGACTCCAGGGTCTCTACCAAGGTGGCATTGTCTCCGTCCAGCGGATATCCCTCGAGATCATCCCTGTCCTCCTCCTCCGAGAACACGTACGTGCGGTACTCCGTATTCGACCAGCCAGTTCCTATCCCGAGTTAGCTTTCGTCCAGATCTCCAACCAATGCACCATGACCACCTACCCTGGAACTGACTGCTATCCTCCCAGTCCTCCGTGAAGTAGTGCAAGAACCCGCCATGCGTGACCAGAACAATCTCCTTCTCCGGTCTCCCCTTCAACCACCGTCTCGCCGCGCGGGCCCTGTCCTTGATCGCCTTGTTGGTCGGGGCAAATCGACCGGACTGTACATTCTCCCCTCTGCATTAGCACATCCGGTCATCCTAGACAAGGACTGAACAGGAATAAAATACCTTCACGTTCCAACCTTCATAGACCAAGCTCAAGTCGACAGGGAGTTTCTTCTCCTCCATCTCCTTGCGCAGCACATCTGGGTCACTGCCCGTGTCGCATGCCACATCGCTGGTCTCCTGAGCATCCGGGAGAGCAATCACTTCGAGACCGGGGCGGGCCTTGAAGACGGGCTCGAAGCTCTGGAGTGCGGTGTAGATGGTGCGGCGGAGGGGGGAGGCGGTCACCAGGTCAATGTTTTCGTGGCGGGGGAAGGTATTGCGGAGGGTGCTGCATTGTTCGTTGCCCAGGTCGGTGAGGAGGGGATCGTGGATGACGTGGTTGGCGGTGCAAAGGTTATGCACGCCCTGGGGCGGAAGCCGTTAATCATAGGCAAGTCTCGATGCGAACAGACTACTTACCTGGGCGTGGCGGACGCAGTGAACGATCGGGGGCATGGTTGGTCTATAAATCGTACGTATGGTTGGGGTCTGAAGTGGAAGGGTCAAGGTCAGCATAGAGTCAGAGCAACGTGGGGTAGCGGGGCTGATAGTGAAATTTGGATAAGGAGGGGAGACGCCACAATCTGATGCTGTAGATGGGGTATATACTCACCTGTAATGTGTATGTAGATTTAAGAAATATCTTTATATTCCAATAGTTCTAGCAGAAGACAAAGAACAGGGGGAGAATTGTTCGCAACGAGGGGCAAAGATCAAATTGAGGAGGAAGAGAATGAGAAGTTCAAGAGACACGAGAGGAGAGGAAATAATATGGATGAATCTACCTAATGCCGAGAAAAGAGCCCGAAAGAGCGGGTACGGTACAAGTGGCGGGCCAGGGGAGGCGGCGAATCACTTCCGCCCACGCCCGCACACCTGCTTCTTTTACTGACGGAGTACTTGTAGTCACTTATACAATTACTCATTCCATCCAACTAAGGTTACCGGTGGCAACATTACAAACCACGAATCTCGCAATTGTAAGTAGAGTATATGTATCTGAGTAATTCCAGTTCCCTTATCCACAATCCCTAGATAGTGCCCCAATGTCCCCACCATCCATATGCCTTGAAAAAACCGGGCATGTATGACTATAATGAATAAATACCAAGAGTAGATAACAACTATACAGCTCCCCTGGGTATGTATGTCCTCTCACGCAACGCCAAATCCTCGTGCATTCTCCAACGCTTTGCTCAGCTTCTCCTCTAGAACACTTTTGGATGAGTATTCGGGAAGAAGTAATCGTCCGAAACACGTCAGACTCGTGGGAAGGCGCTGCGGTTTGTTTGTCAGTACAACTGTACAGTTTACAGTCGGTAGTCGATCGAAAGGGGCAGTGACTTACAGCATCCCCAACTCCGTTCTTCTGAATCACAAACATGATGCTCGCAATCCCATTGACCGGCACCCGGTCACTAGCCGTCACAAACTCCAATAATTGTGCCCTCTTTTCCGCAGGGTACCGTCGCACGATGCTCCAGAAGTCCCGAATCACCCGGTGACTCGCGCTGAACCCGCCTTCGTACCGCGCGTGACGCTCCAAATCTCGCATATCAATCGTCTGGATGCCCTCCACCACGGTCTTGAATGACTCGGCAGTGAATATCGATAGCGCGGTCCGGTCCAAGCAGGTGTAGAACCCCTTGGCAAAGGCTTCAAACTGTGGCCGGACGGACTTGTCCGTCAGCCAGAAGATGTAATCCTTCACAAACTGCTCGCGATTGGCGTTCGTCACGAGACACGCTTCCTCTGCCGGGGGAGTAGGCGACTGAGCCGCCAGCGCGGGCAAGGGATCAACGGACTTGGCCACGTCCCGATACGAACCCGCCGTTTCTGCTGCCATAGATGAGGGAGGACTCAAATTGACGTGGTCCGTGTAATGACGGACCTCCGACCATGGCGGCGAGTACCCGAGAGACCGAGTGCCGGTTAAAGGTGGTCGGAGGGGCAGGAACGGTGTCGGCCACGGGGCTTCCTTATCAATTTTCTGCATGTCCACCGTCTCGACGTTGCCGAACACTTCGTAGCTGAACTCGTAGGTCCGCAGGAAAATGTCTCCCACATCACCCTCCTCCCACGCGAGGAGGTCCTCCAATCCCTTGGTGAGCTCCGGCCAGCCGTCTTGAATATGGTCCAGCTGTTTGACCTTGAGTCCTAGCAGCTTTCGGTAGAACGCCGTGGGAAAGTTGACCGGAAGTGTAAGCCCATTGTATACAGCCAGGGACATCAGCAGCCCGAGGAGCTCGAACTTGTAGAGTGGCTCCAAGGAACATGGCTGGAACCAGGAGATGCGGGTTCGTCCGTCCAGCGTAAACATGCCGTACGCTGGATCCAGAGCCTCTGCCATCAAGACACGGAAGAATTCCTGCTGGACCCCGCCGTGATCGAGACCTTCCTCGCCCTCATCCATTCCCATTTGCACTTTCAGAGGTCGCATGAGCTCGCGCCTCTCGCGCCGCCAGAGCTGGTTGAGCGCGTCCGTGAGGACGCTGTCCCGGCGCACAGTAAGAACGAGGTAGGTAGTCATCGACGTCTTCATACGTGCCAGCAGGCCGACGTCATCGTGAATATGGATAGGCCCGAATGCAGTTTGTGTGACGTGCCTCGTCGTCGTCAACGCCGCTTCGTAGTATTTCGACATGGCTGCATAATTCAAGGCGCGGAAGTAGATAACAAGTGAGGAGGGGGGGAACAGAAACGGGTACGACAGAAGATGCATGGTTTTGTTACTCGGCAATCGGTTTAGCCATTCCACTGGCATATCCAGAGGCTCCAGCCTTTCGGCAAGAAATGAAGTGTGAAAGTCTTCCGGTACAAGGCCGAGACGGTTCCGCTCCTTGTACAACTTGGCCAGGATTTGTACAGCTCCGCCAGCAGAACTGCTCTTTGGCATTTCGGGATTACCATCCCACTCCCGCAAAAGCAGAGTCCGGAGCCATTCGGCGACGAACGATGGAGCCCCGGGCTGAGGTGGCTGCTCCTGAGTGGTGCCGTTGGTTAACATAGCTTTATATTCTTCGACCAAGTTGTCCACAAGACGGTCCAAAGCGCTGTCCTTGCGACGTTTAGTAAAATCCCGCGAGTAGACATGGCGTGTTTTGGAGATCTCGTTGAACGCCAGGCGTGCCGTGAGACCCCGCACCAGGCGATCAACCAGTCGTAGAGCAAGCTCATGCTCGAACATGTCGATAGTCTCGACGATTGCCCGAGACCTGGATACTGAATGCTTCTGCATTTCTGAGCCAGATGCCACGCCTCCCGCAGCACGCATCTGAAGGATTGCGCGCCATGTAGGCGCATCGACCCTAGGCAGCGAGCTCGCGAGAGCGAACATGGTGACTGTAGCAACATCCGCAGCATTTGTATCTGTAAGATGCTCCATGCCCACTGAACTAGACCGACGAAGGATAGGAGCAGGGATAGAAGCAGACGTAGTAGAGTTGCAAGACGAACGACGCGAACGTCTGCCCGATGCCGATAGCTCTTTTGGCGGCACAAATAACGATTCCATCGCACCCCACAAGCTGTGGAATACAACATCTCGGGGACAGATACTGAGTAACTTGATGAACGACGGCTGTAGCTGTCGTAAATCAAGGTTGGAAATTGCTCTGCTCTGATCCGCTTCGGATGAATCAGCCGCATGCTTTTGAAACGACCTCAGTATCTGTTTCGTGCTGCTCAAGGTAAAGAACACGCTCTGTGCGATGAAATTGTAAACCTGTCGCTGTCGGGAGTTCGCAAAGCACCATTCGGAATCTTCAAAGCTGCCAGTGAACTCTATGTGGGCAAGCTCTTTCCTCCACCGCTCCTCCTCATCCTCGGAGGTTGCCGTCATCTGCGCCAATCCATTCACCACCTCACTATTAAGATGGCTCACCGACTGGACAGCCGTTGCTGGCTGTTTTCGGCTGGGGCTCCGACGGCTGGGCTTCCGATCAGTCGGTGATTGAGCTTGCGACGGAAGGTGCTCTTCAACAGACGGGACCGGATCCAAGTAATCGACAAACTGAACATTATTCAAGTATTTTGCCCCATCCCAAGACACTCGCCGCTCTTTCTTCTGCTGCAAAGCCAGGTCAATGTTATCCGTGTCCCCGACCCTCCCCCGATGCTTTTGAGGACGGTGTCTCAAAGAGGGTGGTGAGGGCACATTGGCGGATCCATCGTTATCTGCATGTGCGTTGACGGGGATCTTGCGCGCCGGTTTCAGTTCATGGTGGGATTTTTCATCCAAATTCGCCCGTCCACTCCGACGCCATTGATCCATTTCCGTAAGCGTAATCGGTACCGTTAGCTCTAATGCGGTGTTCTGACTATTGCCGTTCCGCGATGAAGGAGTATGTGGTGTACCACCAGCAAGGGTGGCATTTTGAGGTGTACGTTGTCGGCTCATATGTGGTCTCGTCCGTTGAGAATGCGAAGGCGTCTGTTCAGGCTCGCTCTTCGGCAGCCTAGGTTCCGGTCGAGTGTGGTGCTGGTCAATGTTTGCGTCGAGAGCGGTCGGAGACCGCCGTAAAGGTAACCACTCTATCATTCTCAAGGATAAGGTGTCGAAAAGGTTTTGCGTAAATGATTTGGGATCCTTCTGTCTCTGGGCTGCAGCGTGTTCATCCTCCGACAATGCCGCTTGCTGCTCAGACGAGTCCGCCTCCTGAGGCGCGCTAATGTCTGCGGCCTTGTCCGAGCTCGACAGCATCGGCCGACCGTGTGGTCTTCGGGAATCCTGGCGTACGACCGCCGTGTCATCGTGGTATCTCCCGATTGAGCCCAGTGCCTCTGCAGGTTCAACCAGGGTGCGACTTCGGCGTTTCGGTCGGCGCTGTGGTTCATATGGTGACAGTTCGTATGGTACCCTAGGAGGGTTGCAGCAGAGTCCTGCTTCGGCATTGTCTATACTGGCCAAGTAGCAAGCCAGGGTCCGGGCACTCAATTCTGTATAACGGCGATATGGTCCTTCGGTGATCCGTCTCCGATAGCTCGCGCAGGTTGGGGTCTGACAGCCAGGGTTCACGCAGCCGTACATAAGCTGGTTTTTATATCTTGGTCCTTCCGTCAGCTACTGCTGGATTGTACGAAAGTTGCGTTTCATCCGATCTCACTCACCTGCGAACCAGAAGGTTAAACTGGCGCCGTCGCTCATCGCGACACCAGAGCAAAACCTGAGCCGGGTCGGACACATCGATTGTGTTCAATACAACAATTTCCGGCGCATTCGGAGGGAGCTTGGATCGGTGTAGGTGCGATCGGTCGGAACCAGCGCCGCGCGCGGCGTCATATGAGCTCACGGAAGCTCCGCGGAGCCTCGTCATCTTGACAACCTGCGGAGCATGCCGCGACTACCCAACCAGAAAATTGAAGGGGGAAGAGGAAGTTGCTTGTACAAGCAGTATGGCCTTACCTTGGTTGGAGGGGGTATCTTGAATGGCCCGAAGTAGTAATAGTAGTGTTGCTTGTTTATGTGCGGTGGTGCAGTGAGGAGGGGTGGAAGACGTGCGCACAGAGGGCAGATGATCGATATCATAGCACGCACAGCACAGCACTGGGCACTGGGCACTTTACGGGCGTTCCCCGACGTGGTGGCCGCCTCAGGCCTTCAAATTACTAAGCAAACTTACGGAAGCTGGAACAGGCAGTAATCCCAGATCACGTGACCCTCGGTATCTGAGCATACTCTAAGTCAGATGGAAGCACGTGCCTGAACGTCATTCCAGCGATGAGTAAAAGCGGCAAGGCGAGGATTT